GGCAGCCATCTTGTGAGGGCATGAGGGTTAATTTGCATATTACCTCTGTATTATATAGGATTAGAACTAGAACCCTGCTTTCACTCTGCATTCTTGTTCATTTCTATCACTTTCATCTCTAATGTGTCCATTTTACAGCCCTCCTGAAGTCGTTTCAGGCTCTGGTCTTTCCTGTCCTCCTCCATCCTAACTCCCCACACTGCATATGAGGCAATCAGGTATGAACTTCACAGCCAGGTTTTAGCTTCCATCTCTGGCCTCATCTGATGCCCTTTGCTCATGGAGCCTATTTAAACTACTCTGAACTCTCACGCTCATTTTCTGTTTCGAATGACCACATCCATTTCTCTTTCACTTAATACCTTATCTGCTCACCTTTTAGGAGCTAGCTCACAGGTTTTCTGGATTTCCCAGGTTAGCAGTTCTCTCTATTTTATTGCCACCCTGTTTTTATACTTCAATCAGAGTACATACATTGTATTGCAATCTGTTTGAATTGCTGTCTCTCCCTCTGGCTTGAGCTCCTCAAAGGAAGGGATGATGTAATATCCTGGCGGCTCATTGCTGTACACGCACATACTTGGTACACATTAAAATTGGTTGAATGGAATTGAGGGTGCATTAAACACCTTACATCCTCTCAGAGTATTCATTTGCCTTCTATTAAAGTTAATTCATTGGCCACTTCACTTTTGTCACCATCTCTGATTGCACCCAGTAGGAGCTTAACAAATGTTGAATAAATGAATTAGTTCTAGTTGCACTCTAAAATTGTAATTAAGAAACAAAGGTATTTTTAGATTGCAAATTCTCTGCAGCTTTTATTTCTCTGATATTACAGCAGTGTGTGACAGTGACAAAGAACTTCACATTTTGTGCATTTCTTTGGTCACCTTTCAGCATTAGAATGAATTACTCTTCACTCATAACTTTTGTGTGAACCTCGCGGCTCTTCACCCGCAGCTTGTTGACCTGGGACTCGGCGATGTCAGCCCGCTCCTCAGCCTCCTCCAGCTCGTGCTGGAGCTTGCGGAACTTAGCAAGGTTAGCGTTGGATTGTTCCTCCTGAGGGCAAAAAATGCATTAGAGAGTATAAGAACATTTGACATTTCTGATTCTTATTTATTACTAGAAGCAGCTACATAATTCGCTTCATGAATGAGAAAGCAAAAGGTTCTGCTATTAGGGCCACAGGATCCCACATACTCGCCTCAATGAACGCATGGGCTTACAACCTCCCTGTTCCATCTTTCATACTTAACTCTTCCGGGCAAACTTAAGATACTATAGTGACCACAGGGAGATCAACATAGAGAAAATCTGAATCAATCTTGTTTCTGTGAAACAAACTTTTACAATAGCTACAGTGGTAGTATTGGGTGCAGAAAGCCTTAAGGAAGGTTTCTGAATTAACAGGGTAAGAAAGATAATTGCATCCAAATGAAAAAGAAATGTCCTGAGAAGGATTTATCATGAAGTTAAATAACACTTAAACTTCAGAGCTCTCATTTGCATGGTCCCTATGAGGGTTGGGAATATAGGACTTCCAGATGGGAGTTGCGGAGTGTTATAGACAGGGAAGGAATTGGGGTGTAACCAAGAAGCAGCTCTGTGTGGAAAATTGTTAAAGAGGTCTTAGAAGAAATGAACCCGAATCTCAAAGGCTCCAGTAATTTGTGATAAAAATTTCTCATTCTAAGTACTCATTTTCAAACCTAATTTTGTATTCCCAATTTTATGTTCTTTGCCTTAAAGAACACCGCTTAAATTCTGTAAACGTCAGGTTCCACAAAACCTGGACTTGCTCCTGAACCTTTCCCTCTCACTGAAGATACTCACAGCCTCTTCAGCTTGTCTCTTATAAGCTTTGACTTTGGTTTGTAATTTGTCCACCAAGTCCTGCAGCCTGAGAACATTTTTGCGGTCCTCCTCGGTCTGAAATGAAAAAGATAGCAAATAGATAGTGTCATTATTTGAAAGGAACTCATTTTTATTTTCTTGAAAATGAAATTTGGAAAAGATGGAGAGGTTGGTCACCTGGTAAGTGAGCTCCTTCACTCTTCTCTCATGTTTGCGAAGACCTTTGACTGTCTCCACGTTGCGCTTCTGTTCATTATCAACCTCGTTTTCAAGCTCCCTCACCTGGAAAAGAACAAAGGTGTTCAACAACTGGCTGTAACTAGCTGCGTGAACAGATTGGAAATGAAGTGGTGGGAACCCACCCTGGCCTCCAGCTTCTGGATCTGCTTCTTCCCGCCCTTCAGGGCCAGCTGCTCAGCCTCATCCAGACGGTGCTGCAGGTCCTTCACCGTCTGTTCCAGGTTCTTCTTCATCCGCTCCAGGTGGGTGCTGGTGTCCTGCTCCTTCTTCAGCTCCTCGGCCATCATGGCCGCCTGGTTAGTAAAACCAAGAAAATAAGGAAACCTGGTAATGGCAAGTAGCACGTGTGTATCAGCAAAACAAAAGTTCATCTCGCTCACATCAGTGATGGCCTTCTTGGCCTTCTCTTCTGCGTTGCGAGCTTCCTGGACAATGTCCTCCATCTCTCCCTGGATTTGGGAGATGTCTGTTTCCAGCTTCTTCTTGGTGCTGATCAGGCTGGTGTTCTGTTTTAAATTAAGAAGAAAGGAGAAAAGCATGTTTAATTGTAAATATTTACATTACCAGTTTTATTAGTGCACATAGGCATAAATTATTGGCCAACGAAGTGTTCAGAATAAAAACCAAATCAAAAGTTGATTGTAAGTTTATGCCTTCTGTTCTTTCTACTCATTCTGTTATTAAAAATTCTCTTGAATTCTTCCAGGTAAAGTTTAATTTTTAAAAAATTTATTGACTTTAGAGAGAGAGAAAGGAGAGACATCAATTTGTTGTCCTACTTATTCATGCATTCATTGGTTGATTGTTATATGTGCCCTGACTAGGGATCAAACCCCCAACCTTGGCGTATCAGGACAACACTCTAACCAACTGAGCTGCCCAGCCAGGGCTATTAATATTTAATTTTAAAAAAGTATAATTTTATTAATTTCAGAGAAGAAGGGAAAGGGAGAGAGAGATAGAAATATCAATGACGAGAGAGAATCATTGATCAGCTACCTCCTGCAGGCCCCCCACTGGGGATTGAGCCTGCATCCTGGGCTTGTGCCCTGACTAGAAATTGAACTGTGACCTCTTGGTTCATAGGTCAATGCTCAACCACTGAGCCACAGCATAATATATGTAAAAATAATAGAACATACAAATTAGCAAAAAAGAGACAAAGAATAATTAACCCCTTCCCCAACAATTTTTTTGTTAAAAACGTTTCTTTTTCAGACTAATTTTTTTATTTTGGTTCTATATAGTATTTTTGATGCTGGTTATGAAAACAGTTTGTAACTTATCTTCCTATAAACCATATTTTTTTACCATATTTTCTTAGTATACTCGTCGACAACTGAAAAAGAACATTTTGTGAAAACGAGTATACACGTTTCTGCTGGGGAAGGGGTTAACACTCTCCATTTATCACACTTTTGTTTATCCTTATGGATGTTTTTAATAAGATGATCATATATATATATATATATATATATATTACTTTTAAGTTGCTTGTTTTACTTACTATATTGTGACCATCTTTCTATGGCAATATATGCATACTACAATGACTGCTTATTTGCTATTGTGAGGAGAAACCACTATTGTGTAACAAATCCATATAAATGCTGAATAGCAGTAATGATTACTTGCATGAGTTTGAACTTAAGAGCTTTTTTTAATATCACATAAAGTTAGCTTTATGTGCACACATGATACATAAATATTACGTGGGCTTATTTTTTCTCTTTTTTATTTGCTTATCTTTTTGCCATTTAGAGTTGCGAGAGACAATATGGCCACCAATGTTGTATATATGGTTATTAATAGGGGGTCTTCTGTGTTCTTTTTCTAAGGTTTGTAGAACTCAAAATATTCCCCATTGATATGATTATGCCGGCCCATAAGTATACTTGGGAACCAGGTAGGCCCCAGAATGTTTTTACTGATCTACAGTTTCAGAATTCCAAAACCTTGCCAAGATTACTCCTGACTTTATGAACAAGCTTATTCTCTCAAATTGTCTTCAGCTTTAGGGCGTGCATTTATTCATCCATAGTCTGGAACCTCACCTGGGTGTGCAAGAGTTGCAGACGCTCATTAGCATCCACAAGCTCAATTAAAGCAAATACCAATTTAGGGTCATGTACACACGTTGATTTTAGTAACTTAGAGTATGATTAGTTAGGAAAATTCTGCAAGTCCCTTTAATGACAATTTTTTTTGTAGCCTAGAATAGCAGTTCTGTTCAAAAGAATATGATAATATATTATTTTTATCCCAAATCATAGAAAAGTACTATCGTGTAAGCTACAAAATTTTGGATTAGGAAAGTATTCTTAGATACCAGCTAATCTAATGATACCATTTCATGTATATTGAACAAATGAAGTCCAGATAAATGAAGTGATTTATGTGTAATGTGTAACTAATATTCTTTCATCACTTCCTCTCTCTTCACCTGTCACCACTTTGTCTCCTCTTCAGATGATAAAATGAACTCTGGCCTGGGCTTTCCAGAATTAAGCTATTTTTTAGCTGTGTACATAAAAATTTCAACTGATCACCATATTATTCGGATGGTTTATGGCATATACCCCTCATACAATATTAAAATTTGAGTTACACAATGACACCCAGACTGTGTGACACCGTGTGTGTTTATCCTGATGTACCTTCAGTATTCCTTGGGTGTTCCTGTAGTTCCTCAGGGCCTCAGCAGCCTGGCGGTTGGCGTGGTTCAGCTGAATTTCCATTTCATTAAGGTCTCCCTCCATCTTCTTCTTGATCCTCAGGGCATCATTTCTGCTCCTGATCTCAGCATCGAGGGTGCTCTGCATGGACTCCACCACTCTGAGATGGTTCCTCTTTAGCTGATCAATTTCTTCATCTTTTTCAGCAATTTTCCGGTCAATCTCAGATTTCACCTGATTTAACTCAAGTTGGATGCGAAGGATTTTGCCTTCTTCATGTTCAAGAGATGCCTTTTGAAAAAGCAACATTTAGATTACCTAAATGTAAAGTTCAAAGAGCTTTTTTGTGTGCATTATTTCTTCAAGAAGGCATTTTAAAAACTCAAGTTTTCATACATCTTAATTTAGCCTACTAGTTTTGCATTCCCAAGGTACAGTACAGTATTTCTTACTGAATTATATGAGTTATCCCCTAAAAGTTTGAAACATGATTGATCTCCGTTGCTGTTAATTTTCCAAACTATTTATAATGTATCAGTGAGCAAATGAAACATGTACCTCTGCTTCCTCTAGGGCAGCCTGTAGTTCACTCTTCTCTTGATCTATTTGTTTTTTAATTTTCTCCAATTCATGTATATGCTTTCCTCCCTCTGCAATTTGCTCAGTCAGGTCAGAAATCTCCTCTATAGTTTAATAATAAAATACCAAATTCAGTTGAGAAAAATGAAAAATTGGGAAGAAATAACTCCCTCCCATTTTTGAAATAGAATGATTATAAAGACTCACGTTGTAAATTCTTATTCTCTCTCTTTAGTGTTTCAAGATGGTCCATGGATTCCTCGTAGGCATTCTTGATCTTGAACAGCTCAGTGCTGAGAGAACGGGACTCCTTCTGGGAGGCCTCAAGTTCAGCCTGAGTTTCCTCCTGCTTCTGTTTCCATTCTGATAAGATCTGAAAAGCAGTAAATAAATCATCAGCCAATGTCAGGAGAAAGGAAGACCAAGTAAGCATTGACCAAGGTTAAGCAGGCTGGGCCACCTTGTCAAAGTTCCTCTGCTTCTTGTCCAGGGCTGCGCAGGCAGCATTAGATCTCTCCACATCAAGCATGAGGTCCTCCACTTCATTCTGGAGCCTCTGCTTCGTCTTCTCAAGGGAGGCACACTTGGCATTTACGGCTTCCACGTGTTCCTCGGCGTCCTGCAGACGCTGGGCCAGCTTCTTCCTGAGAAATAGGTCAGTGTGAGTGACACAGCAGCGTCAAAGCTACCACAGTCTACTTGATAAAGCTGCTCACTAAGAAACATATTTTTCCCATGATTTTTGTTCCTATGTATACAGATCATTAAGGTTTTCTAAAATATCTCCTCAATATCCATTTTATCTCTTCTAGAATTCTGTGTTCCCTAGTGAATTCTTATCTTCATCTCAGGGGTTTCAGACATATTTATGAAGCCATTTGTGTGTGTGTGTGTGTGCGTGTGTGTGTGTGTGCGTGTGTGTGTGTGTGTGTGCGTCTCAGTGGGTCAATGTTTTTGTTTTTGTGTGCGTGTGTGTGTGTGTGTGTGTGTGTGTGTGTGTGGTGGAGGAGGTGGAGAGAGAGATTGAGATTAAGCACTTTAGCTGGTTGGGCAATGGGAGGATGTGAGGCAGAGGTTGGAAACAAGTGACAACCATGAACAGAAGTCATATCATCAAGGAATGTTAGTATTGAATAAGATCCTTTTACATTTTCATCTGTGCTCCTCTTCACAAATGAAGAACTTAGCCCAAAGTGACTTGTTTAATGTCACACAATTAGTAACTTTCTGGCTTTTTATAGCCCAGAAAATGAATATTATTCCATTATTACACTCCCCAAATTTCCTCCAATCTTACTGCTCCCCAACCCACACTCTTAATCTAGAATACCCCCCTGCAAATGCTTGCCAAGCCCTCTCATTCTATCTAGTTCTAACAAATACTGATATAAACCATATTTAGGGAAGCTGCCTTCCCTAGGAATATAATGGTTATTTTCTTCCCATGTGTAACTCCCATGAGTTTTATTCCACAACTAATGTGTGTTATTAGTGAATAAACTCATTGATACTGGTTGTTAGTTAAGTGATGAAAGAGTATGATAGTCTTATTCTGAAATTTTAATGCTCCAGGTAGAGATAAATTGATTAGTGTTAATTATAATATTCATAACAAAGTAACTGCAGCAGGTAGTCTCAATGTCTCTGTTTTTTCTTATATTAACAAGAAATTAAATCTACTTAATTCAGAAAGGTATAATGATAATTTTTCATTTTTCTTATATTAACAAGAAATTAAATCTACTTAATTCAGAAAGGTATACTGATAATTTTTCATTTTGGTGGAAAGAAATTAAGATGCTTTTGTAATAGGCCAGAATGGGGAGAGGGCTCTGGTCTTGGCCCATTTTCCAGTGGATATACATGGGGCTGTAAGGAGGAGAATATGGTAGAACCCCTCATTCTGCAATAAAATAGACTGAGATCTTTAACCTGTCTCTATGCCCTGAATATTCTCTTTCTTTTATATTTTCCTTTGCTATTGTTTAAATTTTGTTTCTTTCCGCTGCCTCCCCTTCACCCTCCCTCCCCCCACCCTAAGAGCCCGTACTTGGCCTCCTCCAGCTCCTCCGTGCGCTGGATGGCATCCGTCTCATATTTGTTCCTCCACTGGGCAACCTCACTGTTGGCCTTGGACAGCGCCCTCTGCAGCTCAGCCTTGGCTTCCTGCTCCTCCTCATACTGTTCCCGCAGCAGGTCACAGTCGTGGCGGGAGGACTGCAGGGCGTGGGCCAGAGCATTCTTGGCCTGAACCACCAAAAAGTTTATAAGTTTATGTTCTGATCATTGATATTCTCTATGTAAAGTTTCATAGTGCAAAGTTCAAGGGATTGAAAGAATCATTTGGAGAATTCTCACCTTAGACTCCTCTTCTAGCTGTCTCTTTAATTCCTCAATCTGTTGTGTAAATGCTTGTTTGCCTCGGGATAGCTGAGAAACTAGAGCATCTTTCTCATCTAGCTGTCGTGCAAACTCACCTGTGAAATCACAAAACATGAGTGATTTAGTTCTGTTGTCTAAGTGAAGAATAATTTAAAGAATGAAATAACATTAGAACTCTCTTATTTCATACTAGAGGCGCGGTGCATGAAATTCGTGCATGAATAGGGTCCCTAGACCTGGTTGGCGACCAGGGCCAATCAGGTTCCCCGCCTCCTGGCCTCCCTGCCTCCTCCTTTCCTCGCTCCCTCAGTGCCCCGCAGCAGCCGCTGCCACTGGTCACCAGCCATGTTCTGTGCTGCCCCCTGATGGTCAGCACATTTCATAGTGAGCGATCGAACTCCCAGTCTCAACTCGGGTTGAACTCCCGAGGGGACACTTTGCATA